ATAGTATGGTGCAATCCATGAGATTTGAAAATATCGTGGATAGAAGTCGGTATAAATTTGGAGGTAAACTGGCCTTGTTTATGCGATTTGGCACATTTTTTATGATGAAAGCAAAGCAGGATAAGATGCAATGTTTGTCTTAACTTCACTCTTTTAATTTAAATCTCAATCAAAGAGAAATCTGGTCGCCACTTTGGCGACCAAACTAGAATTTTTAGTCACCAAGGAGAAAATGTTCCTTGCATTGGCGACCGTATCAGTCGCAATTTCAAGCCCTGTCAAGGGAGAACCTGCAATCATTAGGAAAATTCTAACAATAGTCATGAAATGGATGTCAAAGAAATGAACGCAAATTTTATTAATGTGTGGTAAACATGCAGAGCTACTCCTTCATCATAGTCCAAGTTGTTTTTTGGATGTTCTCATTGTCGTTGTGGTTTCCTGCTAGCAGAAGCTTCTTTTCCATGATATTCAGAGGTCAGGAGGAAAAAAACCTCTGCCATGCCATTCTATCACACAAAAATTTTAACATGACCAAGTTTGAAGTTACAAGGCAATGACAGGCTAAACACAACTCATAAGCTTGTGAAAGTGGGAGACATGCCCTTGCAGGTTTTCCTTCCTTTCTTTCTTACATACGAATGTTATGCAGTGCATAGAGTACAGGCACTAGGCGCACCTAAACTTTTTTGCTGTCACAAGTATTTTAGAGTTCCCAAACTTGGTCTGTTTTATGCATTTTGTGGTTTGTTCAGTCTGAGAGCCAGGTTTGATCTCAGATGCATTTTAGCACTGACGACCTGGTTCTTGCGCATGTTCCTACATTTGTCGTCCTTAAATTTCCTCCGTAGAATCGTTAGGAGTGAAGATTTAGTTCACAATTCATTTTTTTTTTCAGAACAGCCGTTTCAAGGAAATTATTCGACATAAGATTTTCATACAAACTCTGTATTCTCACGCGGTTGCCTACTCGTCAAGATGACTTCCAAAACCGTGACAAGGTCTATTGCAGATAGGCATATCTATTCAATGTTCGCAATGTTAGTTAAAGTTTATATTCAATACTAATACCTACCTGGTGTTTGTGGCTGGCCTCCCTTTCTCAATGCATGGAGTTGCCAAGTTTGCTGCTCACAGGACAAAGGAAACAGCCAAGCATATATTTTGTTGGAGTCATGTTCAACAAACTGTGATTCGTCTTGTCGGTGTTCTAAGATTGATGGTGAAGACAAATTAGATAGTTCCTCGAAGAAACCAAAACTCAAAACATTCAAGTGAGTACTTTGAAAACATTCATAGTACCATGTTTATTTTACATGTCTTACCGTTGCATGTCGTGCGATAAAACAGCCCGAGGTCCGATGAACGAAAGAACAAACTAATGGGAGTTTGGAATCATATGGCGCGTTGCGCGGTAACTAAGCTAACCGCGTGATAACGAGGCAGAGCGAGAGGGCCTTGGAAAAACGGAAATGACAACTAAAAAGTCAAATTAAATTTTTGTTGGACGCATCAACGGCGAAAATGAAAATTATGTTCCAACTTTTCATCAACATATCCAAAAAATATACACATTGTGTACTCATTTCCATCTGGCTAATGGTGAGTCTTTTCTTGGAAAGGGTGCATAAACCGGGGAGCACACTCCCTTATTTGGCGTAGACAGGAGCTGAACAGGGCCATAGTTTTAAGGGTCTTATACAGGGTATATTAGGAGCTATTTCATTATTTCGAGTCTTGCACCGAATGTCTTTTTGGACCTTTAAAGAAGGTAGGCGATGAGCTGTCCACACGTGTGGCTGACTCTTGAACCTAATCGCCTAAGCCGCCGTGACGAATTATTGTAATTCATATCCTTTCTTTTTTTTTTTCCAGTTTTTTGGGTTGTACGTCATTTCCGCCTGATCTCCCTTTTTATTGCGACATTCTCCATCTATATAATATTGTGATTCCTATCATAGGTTCAGTTAGGCTCGATTACCAGCCGCTGTTCGGGAAAATGAGCCCGCACTCATCCCCCGGGGAGGATCAAAGACCAGACCCGGGAGACAGCGGAAATCGAGCCTAAGGTTCAGTAACATCTGTAAACCTGAAGAAGACTGGAATAGCCAGCCGAAATACTGTTATGAAAAAACAATACTCGTCATGTGTTTTGATCAGCTTCGCAGTAGTCTTTGAACTTCTCGTTTTTGGTTCTTCATATTTTGGCTGATTCTAGAGATCTAACGTTTGTAGCAGGATCTTCGTCCACGGTTTTTGCAGTTAATTTAATTCCTTTATTATGTCCCACCAATAATTTTTTTTTAATAAATCGTATTCCACGACTGATAATTAAGAAAAAATGAAAATAATCAATTCTGTGTGCGAAACGAATTTGAACAAGGAATGACGGGCAGACTTCAAATTCGATCAAGGGGGTCGCATTCTACAGTGGGAAAATTTGAAAAGTCGGTTAGCCACACCTTTTAAGACCCTTGTGTTCGATAGACTTACAAGCAACGGGTGAGGCGGCAAAAGTCCGATCAACGTCTGATAGAACTTACCCTAGTCTCACCACCACTGAGCGGCAAGAAGCGCAAAGAGCGAAGTTCTGTAAGTACGTGATTCAAGATCATTGAACTCTGACAACTACCCGGTCATAGCTGCTGAATGTCTGAACCCTGAACGTCGTCAAATGACACTCCTTGAAAGTATTTTCCCAATCGGACCTTATTCGCGTTATTTTCAACTTTTTCACGGGACGTGGAACAAACATTTTGAGAAGCAGTAAGCTATGCGTAACAAAAGATACTGAAAGCTCTCCAAAACTATCAAGTACTGACTCTTGACTCGCAATCCCCTCTGAGTGCGTGTGGGGACGGAGTCGATGTATCACGTGCTTGTCTTTCACTTTGCCCTGATACACATCCAAATTTTAACCCGGGACAAATAAAATTTGACCTGGGTAAAAAACAGGTCCTAACACCTTGGACCAAAGTACGTGTTTTTCAGACTTATTTCGTTTCTAGTGTATTCCACTGGGGAATTACGGCCAAATCGGCTTTCTTGATCTTCACCCCGGGATCTTCACAGAAAAGCAAATATTTATGAGTAATCTTTTAAAATTCTTTTTATACCAGTCGAAGTTCTTCTACCGGCTGTCTCTTTCTGGAACAGAAACGGCCACAAAATTGTGCTACAAATGATAAGAAAACCTCTCCATGCGAACGAAGTTCAAACTGACGTCTTCACTGTACCTTGCTCGCTTTATTTTGTGAACATCTTGTTCTGAACAGTTGGTGGACATTTGGTTTTCTTTTCGTTGACCCTATTATTGCGTTACTTGTCGATGCGCTATTATTAGCATTTCCTCCTGCATTTCTTAATAAACTGTAACTGTCTTTAAACCTTCCCGGCAAACACAACGACCATGGTCTTAGTCTCCAAGGAGGTGATCCACAAAAGTAGAGTTTCTACCGGCGTATACGAAAAAGTCAGCTCTTTTTCAAAAACACGATCTTCAATTTACGCCATAAAAAATGGAGGATTAGATTTGATCTGTCACAAGATATTTTTGGATTTACTGTTTGAGTTTTTCAGGGACTTTAAATGTTTTTAATAGAAACTGTGAGAGAAAATAAAAGATACTAAACATTTATAGAGGGTCTGTAATTGTGCTTTTCACAGAGCTCGCTCAATTCCTAGGCCAGGAGCCGCTGGGCTCAATTCTGCTGCATTTGTCTGGAATCCATGCTAATCTGACGCTAATACAGAATAAACGTAACAACCACTCTTAGGGGAGCACAACCACGCTTCGCTTGTGAAATTGTTGTTTTGACTACGTTTGAAAATAAACATATAGTCAGCTGGTAAATAGATCCAGTTAGAACGAGTGATAACACGTGAAAAAAAAACAGGAGATCGAGGGAAATTTTAAAAGGAAAATAGTACTTTCAGTTTCAAAGACACGTTCTTCTTAAATCCATAACGATAATGGTCGTCTTTTACAGCTTCGATTGTAAGAATGAAGTAGCGCGTTGTTTGAATAAATAAATGTATTTTGACCTTTATATATATCCCGTTTACCGCAGGTGGTTTGAAGCTTACGGATAAAATGCAAGAATTTAAAATCTCCGATAAATATTGGACATCCCAGGATCGTCGGAGATGTTGAACAAGATTTTTCAGGAATTTTAAATTACACGAGTGTTTTATTTTACTTTGTGGGGATGTAACTTTCCTCTCCCAAGTAACTCCCAAATCGAAACGAGGTAGAACCTCGGACACGATTATTACGATTACTACTGTTTTAAATTCAAATTTGATACTGATCCAGGCCTTCTAAAGATCCGGCGAACCCTCACTGCTTTGTCGTTGTGGTTTTGCCTTCACAAGTGTTTCGATTACGAAAGTTGTATGGCGTGACAGACAACTTGAACACGCCACCTATACGCCCCACCAACGCCTAGCCAGCGCCCCTTTCTGTTGTCTATAAACCAATCAAAATTACGTATTACATCACGCCTTGTTCGCGCATTGAATTTCAACAAACAATAACTACCCTTCAAACAGGGCAACAATTATGTATTTTGGCGTTCGAATACTGTTAATTTATATATGCTGTTACCAAAAAAGAGATAGAATTGCTTAACGAATAGAAAAGGTGACATTTTACTTGAAATCGGGGGACAATAAGTTTGATGTTTTGTGTGCATAGCAAATGAGGGAGTCGAACCATTGCTGTTTCACATGCACAGCACGTGTACAGCAACAATGCCATCTCAGGCCACAGTCGTGAAAAACAAATGTCACGTTCGCCAGAAAAGATCATGACAAAAGGCCGCAGGGATGCATTTTAAGAACGTTGATTGCAGCCGTACGGCTCAGAAATATCTGGATGTCCTTCAGGTTTGAGTAGTGAGGAGAAGATAAATTACTGAGTGAATATTACACAGGGCGAAAACCCTCGCTTTGCACCTGTCAAAGGGACAAGAGTGGTAAACACCAGCCTATCATATTCAATGGAGTCGAGACGGTTAAAATCTGTAGAGCACTCTTTCCTCGCTGTGATGGAACAGTTTTTGCAAACGGTGGATTTGATGGATCATACGGTCCTGATTCCCATGAAGTTGATCGATCTGCCCGTAAAGGATCTTATGCCTGCGAAAGGTTCCGCCGCCGATTCGTTTCTGCAAAACAATATGAACATGAGGGCATTCTATTTAATGGTGAAAGCGATGCGAATTAAATTGTCGCTTGGACATAGCCATTACAGCGAAGACGAAGAGAGCCTTGTTCCGCTAGAACGGGAAATTCGAGAATCTTGTCACCGTTTAAATCAGCTCGCCTTGGTCGCCAGGTACATCAAAACTTCGACGCTAAATCTGGGCCCGAACGACGAGCTTCCCTCTTTTCAAAATTTTAAAAACAAAACTCTCCTTGCTGCTGAAAATTGTCTTCTCGGCGCGTTGAAGAAATTTGTCGATGAGGTGGAATCCTTGGAGAAGTCAGTCCTTTTTCCTTGCCTGTTGAAAGATCACCGAGTTAGCGAGCAGATGCCGCAGTTTAGCGAAGGGATCCAAACTCTGTACGATGTTTTCGCTTTGCTCAAGACCCTGCGAGCGGAACTGCTGTCAGGATCGCGGAATTTCGAGCTGCCAGATGCCAAACTGCAACAGAAGTTGTCCGAACTGCTTCAGACTTTTTCTCGATATACTGTCATGGCCAGAAACCTCACTGCCCGCTACGAAGAAGAGGTGCGATGTTCTTGATTTCGTTTCTTGCGAGAGGAACGCGCAAGATACAGTGGGGTGAACTTTATTAATACAATGCTATGAAATGCCTACCTTCCACAGTAGGTTTAAATAAAGTGTCTGTAAATATTATGTGTAAAATTTCTAAGAAAATGAGTACTTTGTACTTTACTTCTCGCTTTACTTGTACAAAAAAGACTGATTGAGTTATGCATGTTAATTTCATGGAAAGAAAGCCAAGTTTATGTCAACGCCTGAAGGGCAATAAATCCGCTTATTATTCATTTGCAATAAATGGTGAGGCAATTATCATGAAGGAATAAAAATTTGTGCATCGCATTTAAGTTGTAGTTTTCTATTGAATTTGTCTTTGTTGGGTTAAAGTAAGACTTTTGAAATTTCATTTTTGAAGCGTGTTATTTCCGTATGCGGCGTTTTATTCTTTAGAATTTGCACTGCTTGACATCGTCAAAAACAAGTTCATTTTATGGCCGTAGGCGGAAATTCTAAAAATGGGCGACAGGGCAGTTACGTAATGATCTATAAACATATTTTGGAAGAACGCGGAGGAAGCTGCTATTCTAGCGTTTTCTGAGCGCAAAGCAAACACCCTTCAAAGTATTCATTTTGTTTTGACTTATATTGGTCTGAGAGCTTCTTGCTCACGTTTTGCCATTATGTCTTAAACTTCTTCTAGAGTAACCTTTTATTAAAGGGGATGAAAGTCGTGCGGGCAAAATTCAAAGTGGTCAAAGATTACGCCGAAATTTGCACCGAGTCCGAAGTGGAAAAAAAACTAGGTGATGACAAATCCAATTTTGAGATAAATCAAACTTATTTTCCTTTACTTTCTTCTTTTTCAATGCCATGCACGTAGGCATTCCCTAATATTCAATTGTACTTAAAAGTTTGAGTAGCTGAACTAGACGTACATGCCGCTAGTTTACAATCGGCCGTGACTTCCGGATTGGAAAAAAATATATATCCCTTGAAGTAGTAAAACACCCAATTTTTCTAAATCCCTGACCAAAATCAACGCGAAAGGAAACGTCCAAAGTACTGTAGAAGTAAGCAAATAACATTTGTTTGGCTGGACGTCTGCCGAAACTAACTGGTACTTTACAATCATGAGCGAGACTGCGATGAACACGTGCCAAACAAAAGTTTGGGTCTGCATGGCTATCACATGCCCCGGAAGTAGACTCGGCGCGCTCAACCTTTATTCAACCCTTCAAAATTTCTAGTCTTGCAATAGGGGTGCGTCACGTCTCCTTAATAACAATAATGGTAATAACAAAAACTCCTATAAAAGATAAAATGGTTTAAAAAAACATTCATAGCATGCACTACAGGGCAGGCAGGAGCCAATAAACGCCTTTCACCAGTTCACAGACAAGTCTATTTATAGTTACATTTCCGGAACTGATCTTTGGCCTAATTTCCCCTAAGGAATCCCCTCCCTTTTTCCCTTCCTCCCAATCCCTTACCCCTTTCGACGTCTGCTACACAAACGAACTTTATACGCGTAGGTAGCCTGCGTGGGGCCGGTTATTATTTTATTTTACAGATTTAGTCATTCGCCCTAAAAAAACTGGAGCTACGCAGGCTAGCTATGGTAAATTGATCTGAACCAGGAACCCATCGTAATCAGCTCCGGTCTGAGCTACCGTAAAACCCCGAAAACAAGCCCCGGGGGTTATATTTTTCAAAGGCCCTCTTTGAGGGGCTCATTTTTGGAGGGGCTTATATACGGAGGGAAATTTGCGTCTCAAAATCGATTGGGCTAGCCTTATAGTTAGAAGTAAATTTACCGTTTTTGCTTTGTTTTTCGTTGTCTTTGAGGGCAATTTTCCAATTTTACAAGCCGCCGGGGGGCTTATATTTGGAGGGGCGATTTAACGGAGAGTTTTTTGCGTTACGAGTTTGGGGGGCTTATATTTGGAGTTATAAATGGAGGGGCTTATTTTCGGAATTTTATGGTAATGCAGTACCGGGTTCGCCCCATATAAGGGACTCCGAGTTCCGGAATCCAGGACATTTTTGTTGATGGAATCCGGGATCCTGGGTTTTGGAATCCGGAATACAGCTCAAAGAATCCGGAATCCCATCAACGATTGGAACCCAGAATCCAAGTTCTACTGACAGATACTGGAATCCGGAATCCACAGCGTGGAATCCAGAATCCAAGACTGTCCTGGATTGCTCTACGTAAGGCAAAAACGCCGCGTATTGACAGCGCCGGATATAATTAAGAAGCCGTAGTCTTGGGAATGCTGATTTTTGGTCTTAATAATTCAGTCAGGGTCAGATGAAATTGAGGCACCGTATTAACCCTCGGACGTACAAGGAGTGGGGGGAGGGGGTTGGATGCCACCCCACTAAGATTTTCGTGAGTTTTCTCGAAGAGGATAAAACATCAGCACCTGATTTTTTTCAGTAGCTGTTCGTTCATCCCTGGCGCGCATTTTGAGTCAAGTTCAGTGATAGTCAGTTTCTATGGTTAAGAGATATGACGTTATAAGTGGGAGGTGGTCAAGCCAATTTTGAGGGAAAGTACATGTTTTTTCAACTTTTTTCAACAATAAAAGTAAATCTTGCGGCTTAAGTCATTCAAAGTGCTTATTTATGCATTATTTTTCATGTCAAGCGCAAAAAATCACCATTTCTCGCGGTTTTAACCTGTTTTCTAATTCTTGGTAAAATTTAAGATGGCGAGCATTGTTGGTGACGTCACAGGCCCCCAGCAGCGCAACCACCCACAAAATATACCTCATCTTGTAGAGGAGATCAAAGGCTTTCCACTGAAGGTAAAATCATTTCGAAATACTGCAACATATAAAAAACTCTAGGGGGGTCCCTCCACCCCCCTCCCGTACCAGGGTGGGGGTATGAATTTGCGTGTACGTCCGAGGATTAAGGACCAAGAGTAGAGTGCAACAACGATAGTTGTTTGTCTCTTTTTACCTGCCTATTTAATCAAACAGGATATGGATATGGATATGGTTTTCGTCCCCGGATATGGTTTTCGTCTTCTCTGTCCTAAACCGGGTGTATAATTCCGCAGAAGTCTGCTCTAAATCGGTGTACATGTACTTTGACCTGGACGGGGTTTTTCGAGGGCTTTGTCCTACTATAAAAAGGCTACGTATTTTACGAACAACCGTATTTATTAGATTAGGCGCCCTGGGCGCTTATTAAACTTTTGGCCCTTGAGAGTGGGCGCTTTTTCGAGGCTGGGCGCTTATTTTCATTATTCTGAACAAGAAGTAAGTTAATTTTCCAACAAAGCAGTGAATAATAACAAAACGTGAAGATGTACCAGAGCAGAATTTCAACTGTACTTTGAAAGATCTTTTTTTGATATAAAAATACTAACAAACTCGGTCTTCGGGGAAATCTCTTAGTAGCTTTGCACCTCGTCAATTTCTATCTCATTGTCAGTAAGATCATTAAGTGAACTCTCTGGTATTGCCCCGTAGATGTCTCATAGCGTAACGTCTGCAAATGGGTCATACAATAAGAAGCAGACAGGGCAGTAAAGAAATGACAACCAACTCTTCTTGTCCACTTGAAGTTGTTATTGTTGTAGGGGTGGGGGTGGGGGGAAGGGTTGTGGGCGGAGGTGGGCGCTTATTCGAGGCTAGGCGCTTATTAAATTTTCCTCCCAACAGGATGGGCGCTTATTCGAGGCAGGAGCTAATTTGAGGTTGGGTGCTTAATCGAATAAAAACGGTATTTGTTCTAAACAGGGTCAGGGTTTCCAACCCTCGGCGGCTCACCTATACCAAAATATTGGAAGAGTTATCCCCGGGCTTGGTCCGTGGGGAAATAAAGCTCTTACATTTCCTCGGCGTAGAGGGAACTTTCCCGACGACGCAATACGTACATTGACTAAAATCAGGAGCCTGCCAGAATATATTTCACTTTTGCATTTCTTATTTAAATTTACCAATCAAACAGAGGTTTGCACAATTGCTCCAATTTGAGGAAGAAAACAAGACTGAAAGATTTGGGTAGTTGACGTCATGGTGCAATTGTCCTATTATATACAGCTTACATGCCGAGAGAAATAGAGGGCTTGATAGCAGTGAGTTAAAAAAAGTAAAACTGCATTTGATGTACCACCCAACTGAAGCCGGCGCTAATAATTTTTACAACTCGACTCGGTTGCTTTTATCACTGCACTCTACAGTCAATTCTCTCTCTAAGACGGACACCTTTGGGACCGGCACTAAGTGTCCATTTTACAGAGGTGTCCGTCTTATAGAGGTGTCCGTTAAGAGAGAGTCCACTGTACAATTATCAAAAAAGTAACAGTTTGCATCTTTCTGAGCTGATGCTGTCACGGTGTCGTGCTTCATATAAAAGGCTTTTGTTTCTAAATGATAGACACTTCACTACAAAGGCGCGTCTGGGGCTGTAATACAATACTGCTCTGTGATTGGTTCGAAGGGTCTTTGATTCCGAGAAAAGCTAAAGATAGAAACGTCACAAGACTTGATTGTTGGGTGTAGACTAGACTCTGCGACACAAAAGGTCATTTCTCTGTTATTTTGAAGAAGACATGGATCTCAAAACTCTATTTCACAATCTTCGCGAAGAAGTGTCTTGTTCGGTGTGTTCGGACTTGTTCACACATCCTAAACAACTCTCCTGTCTGCACAGTTTTTGCTTGAAATGTGTGAATCAGTGGTACGAGACGTGCGGCGGCGGAGACACCATTAAATGCCCGAAATGCCAAATGTTAAGCAGAATACCAGCAAGCGGTGATCTTAAAGATCTTCCAACAAGCTTTTATTTGAACGGCTTTATCGATGTTCTTGCCATCAAAGAATGCAAGAACACTCAACTAACATGTGGAAACTGTGACAAGAAGAGCTCGGAAGCGTCGTATTGTTTCCAATGTTGCATATTTTATTGTGAAGAATGTTTGATGTTTCATAGTAAAATGCGGGACAAAACGGGACACCGTGCTTTGGCAGTAAAGGAATTCCAAGATAAGGACTTCGAGGATGTATTGAAGCGACCAGTGTTTTGTTCAAAGGAACGACACCAGAAAGAAGAGCTGAAATACTACTGCAAAGAATGCGAAACGGCTCTTTGCCAAACTTGCGTCATTTTGGATCACGGAGGTCATGTTTTGAAATTGATCGAAGAAGAAGCGGAAACCAAAAGACTCGAGATGAAAGCTGTAATCGAAACGCAGAGACAAAATTTAAAAGCCAAAATGAACATAGTGACTCATCTTGATGAAGACTGTGCTAAAATGATTCAACAAGGCGAAGTATTAAAAAGAGATGTTCAAAGGTTTGCTGATAACTTGATCAAAACAATTCAAGCGAAAATGCAAAATATAATCACCACAGTGGAAGGCCGAACTAAGAAGTCCATTGAAAGTCTGACAGCAAGAAGGAACGAGATTCAGCAACAAATTAATGTTATTGAATCATCGCTGGAAGAGGCTGATAAACTCTTTCAGAGAAGTACCAACCCTGAAGTTGTTCAGCTTAAAAAAACACTTCAAACAATTTTTGAGAGGGTGGATCAGGCAGAGGTTATTAATGTAGCGGGTTATGACACTGAAACTCAAGAAGCTTTTGTATTCATTCAAAATCAGAAATTACTTGATGTTGTGAATGGCACAGGAATCGGATCCTTGGAAACCTATGGGACAAAAGCAAGCGAATCGCTGGCTGAAGGCGAAGGACTGAAAGAAGGAACTGTTGGACGTAAAGCTAAATTCAATTTGATCACAAGAAACTTTAAAAGAAAACAGGGGTATAATGGCCGGGACTGTGTCACAGTAGAGATTAAGGACGAACAAGGACAAGAATGCGTGACGGAAGTGAAAATAGAGGACATTAAAGATGGAACCTACAATGTTAGTTTTTATCCCGCAGTTCAAGGTATATTAAAATTGCATGTTAAAGTAAACGAGGAACAAACTTGTGGGAGTCCTTTTACAATAAGCGTAAAACCATTTCATGTAAAACCTGATTTATGTTTTGGGATGCAAGGCTTGGGTAATGGAATGTTTCAGAATCCTAAAGGGGTAGCAGTGAATGATAGGGATGAAATAGTAGTAGTTGGCGAGTTGAATCATCGTGTTCAGGTGTTTGACAGTAATGGTACTTTCTTAAGATCTTTTGGCCAGAAAGGTCAAAATGCTGGAGAGTTCAGCCGCCCTGATGGAATAGCCATTGATAAGGATAGGAAAATGTTCGTAGCGGACAGTGATAACAATAGAGTGCAGATCTTTAATTGGGAGGGGAGGTACCTAGGTTCATTTGGCGGCAGAGGAAGCCCTGATAGTCAGCTCCTTAACCCTTGGGGTTTATCCTTAGATAGTACTGGTAATGTTATTGTTGCTGATACAGGTAACAATCTGATTAAGATCTTTACCCCGGGTGGTACGTTTGTAATGAAGATAGGTGAGCAGGGTTCCTTAAATGGTCCTATTCACTGTGTTCAGTGTGGTGAATATTTCATAGTGTCAGACTTTAATGACCACTGTATCAAAGTATTTAACAGGAAGGGGGATTTTCAGTACAAGTTTGGTAAGAAAGGGCAAGGGGACGGGGAATTTCGTTGTCCTGGTTATTTGTTAGTGAATGCGTCACAGCATCTGTTTGTCTGTGATCGTGAGAATCATAGAGTTCAAGTCTTTGAACTTCACGGAAAATTCATCGGGAAGTTTGGAAAAAGCGGCTCCAAGCTAGGAGAGTTTAATAAACCCATCTCAGTGGCAATGCTTAGTACTGGTCAAATTGTTGTGTGTGATAAAGGTAATCATCGAATTCAAATATTTGAATAGAAAAATGGATAAAATTCCTAAAACTATAAGTATAGACATGTTATTCTCTGAATATTCAAGCTAAGATAAGTTAGACCACATTAATTGTTAATATTGTTTTGTAAGACTTAAAGAACTCTGACTACCAGCCTCTGGATTTTTCTTCCAGATACTTTTGACCTTTTTTTAAAGTCAGTTAAGATGTCAAGAAAATGTTTCCTTTTATTTACTGTTCATTTCCTGTTGGGAGGGCCAGTGTCATTTTGTTTTACTTTTTTTATCAATGGCAGACGAATAATATGGGCCAGGTGTTGTGTAAAATGGCCACTGTGTAACATAAATATTTTCGGTTTTCAGTGGCTAAGACCACGTCCACACAAATCCGGTTTGAAACCGCACATTTTTCAGTTTTTTAACACGAATCAGCCTCCCGTCCACACGAAGCCAGTGAATACAGACACCGAAACCGCATTGTTCTAAAACCACTCTCCAAAACGGTTTATGGCTCAATCCACACGAATCCCGATTAAAAAATATGCGGTTTCAAAAATGTCCAGATTCGTGTGGACGGGGCCTAAGATAAAACTGGATTCTATCTTGACAAATAACGGTGACGTCACAGCTCATGGTAGAGTTCAGGATTGACCGAGCCGGGAACGCCTAGGGACTAGGCTGCCCGCTAACATTTTCTTGACTCGCGTTTCAGAAAAAAACTGATATGACGTACAAAATTTTTTTACAGTGTAATGCTTATTTTCATGTCGTTGGTGATCTTGAAGGACGTTATTATATATTTCCTGATAAATTTTAGCATTTGTTTTTACCAAGATAAAACACAATAATCTCGCCACTGCCCTTTATTCGCGGATTAATTTTACAAGTGTACAAGGTGTATAAAATATGGAATAAAATAAAACTAGTTTCATTGTTGTTTGTTGTCTACTTGTCTTATAAGTTAGGTTGTATAGTTTCAAATACGTTGACAGTTGGTTTACTTCAGAGCCATAATACTACATGTCTAGAACAACTTCTATCTTAAATTTTAACGAAATATTAAAAAAAGGGGGCAACTGCGTCATTTTGGATTAATTAACCTGTATTTTTTTGAATAAAGGTCTTGGAGGTCGTGCCCTCGAAACACTAGTGAAACAACACGCAGAGATGTCGCTGTTTGTAAAACACGTTGCCGATAAACAACATTTCCCTGTTTTTCTCTGACGCTACGGTAGACATTGCCATGCCTAGTCCCTGTACGGCGTCTTCCCACGCAATCTCGGTCAACGCATTTCGGTGGCGAACTCGCTCGGACCACGTGACCGAAACACATTAGCCGCGCGGAATAATGCGGCCTACGGACAAGGCAACGGCAGACAGTCGTTCCGTACAGTCCTTCGCTATCATTAAAAACACTGGACACGGGAATTTTGTTATTGGCCGTTTTCACACTAGAGCTAGAAATGGATTATCCGTCTGAGACTAGCCTGTGTACAGTCGCGTGGCTCCCCACAGACACCCCTTCTCCAAAATTTTGTGAGTGGAGGGGGCGGCTGTACACAGGCTATCTGGAACGGATGATCCTGTCTTCAAAAGTCAGGCGGATTGTTCATTCAAAATTAAAACTATTCCATTTTCAAATTAAGACGTTTTATCTATCTGACGGGAATCATCCAACGGATAACCCGTCTCACACGAATAATCCTTCTCTAGTGTGAAAACGGCCATTTCTGTTATAATGAATGTCGCGCCCAGGCCTTGATTTGGGCGTTCGCGTGTTTGCTTTTGCTATTTCACAAAGATCATTTTTAAATTGACTATTGACATTTCTAAGTGTAAAAAAATATTAGAAGTGGAATACTTTATAAAAAGTATGACCTGTCAAATATTAAAATTTTTCAAAAGAATAGCTTATTTCATTCCGAGATGATCCGAAGACCTTTATTAAAAAAAATACAGGTTAATTAATATTTAACTTTTTGAAACAAAAGAAGTTAATTTTTAACTTTTTCGTTAACCGTAACTGAAAAAAATTAACCGATAGCCGTAAAAGAGCCAAAATTTTAGCCGATAACCGTAAAAGCCAACACCCCATTGAGACCCTCAACCAGTGGCATCCCCGTCTCTTTCTCACTTTCTCAAAGGCTGGAGTTTACCCGCCAAATTGAGTGAAGATGACCGTAAGAAAATTGTCTTCAGTTTCTTGCTCTTTTTTCCCAGCTGAAAACTTTTCCCCGTTCTCCGTTCTTCAATCTCGTACCTCGAGTCTTCGTCCCGTACTGCGCATGCTCCCGACCGCTGGTCAAGGGGAACGAAAACGCCGGGTACGAGTGTGGCGTCTCTTCCAAAAGCGTTGCGACTTGATGAGCATGCGCGCGAGTCATGGCCATGCTCCTTCAAAATCGCAAATATATTTTTAACGTAACTGATGTAGTGTTATCAAATGGTATTATAGTCATACCATAAAATCCGAAAATAAGCCCTCCAAATTTAAGCCACCCAATCCGGTAATGCAAAAAACCCTCCGTAAAATCACCCCTCCAAATATAATCGCCTCGGGGGCTTGTGCTTGGAAAATTGCCCTCAAATGCAAAGTAAAACAAAGCAAAAAACGGTAAATTTACTTCCAACTATACGGCTAGCCCAATCGATTTTGAAACGCAATTTTCCCTCCGTAGATAAGCCCCTCCAAAAATAATCTCCTCAAAAAGGGCCTTTCAAAAATGTAAGCCCCGGGGCTTATTCTCGGAATTTTACGGTATATAGGTTAAATCAGATCCCTCAAGTGAACATTGTTTTGAATGTGCCCAGATAATTTTAAACATTGTTTATTCATACATCCCATTTGTCGCCTAAGACTGTAGTTTGAAGAATACACTGTTAACAGTGTCTTTAAATGAACAAATCGCTATATTAAAATTGGGATGAAAGCACGATAATAAAGAGAAATTCAGCTAGAAAGATGCATTTTGGATCCGTACGAGGTTGCTTGTTCTATTGACGCAAATGTAGTTTTCACGCTCTCATGCTTCATAAAGTCTATTGAATCATGTTATCGAACAGACAAAAGCGCATCAGGGGCTCTTACACAGTAGCGTTCTGTGATTGGCTCAAAGGCCTACGATTCCGAAAAAAGCTAACGATAGAAACGTCACAATACTTGATTATGTTGGATTTAGACTACAAGACTCAAAAGGTCATTTCTAAGTTGTTTTTGAAGAAGGCATGGAACTTACAACGCTGTTTTACAATCTTCGCGAAGAAGTGTCTTGCTCTGTGTGTTCGGACATATTTACGGATCCTAAACATCTCTCCTGTCTGCACAGTTTCTGCTTAAAGTGTTTGGTGCGATGGTACGAAACCCGCGGCGGAGGAGAGGCCATTAAATGCCCGAAATACCAAACGCTAAGCAGAATACCAGCAAGCGGTGATCTTAAAGATCTTCCAACAAGCTTTTATTTGAATGGCTTTATCGATGTTCTTGCTATCAAAGAATGCAAGAAAACTCAGGTGACATGTGCAAACTGCAACAAGAAGAGCGCGGAAGCGTCATATTGCTTCCAATGTTGCATATTTTATTGCGAAGAATGCTTAATTGGACACAATATCATGCGAGATAACAAAGAACAACGCGTACTGGCGGTACAAAGGTTCCAAGAAAAGGACTTTGAGGATGTATTGAAGCGACCAGTGTTTTGTTCAAAGGAACGACACCAGAAAGAAGAGCTCAAATTCTACTGCAAAGAATGTGAAACAGTTCTTTGCCAAACTTGCGTCATTTTGGATCACGGAGGTCATGTTTTGAAATTGATCGAAGAAGAAGCCGAAACCAAAAGACTTGAGATCAAATCTGTAATCGAAACACAGAGACAAAATTTAAAAGCAAAAATAAACATAGCAAGTCAACTGGATGAAAACTGTGCTAAAGTGATTCAACAAAGCGAAGTCGTAAAAAGAGATGTCCAAAGATTTGCTGATAACTTGATCAAAACAATTCAAGCAAAAATGCAAATTACAATCACTACAGTGGAAGACCAAACTTAGAAGTCTATTGAAAGTTTGACAGCAAAAAGGGACGAGATTCAGCAACAAATTAATGTTATTGAATCATCGCTAGAAGAAGCTGATAAACTTTTTCAGAGAAGTACCAACGCTGAAGTTGTCCAGCTTAAAAAAATATTGCAAACAATTTTTGAGGGGGTGGATTTGGCTGAGGTTATTGCGGCTCATGACCCTGGAACTCAAGCTGTACTGTTCATGGAAAACAAGAAAATACTCGATGTTGTCAATGGCGAAGAAATCGGATTCTTGGAAAAACCTTATCGGACAAAAGGACGTGAATCTCTAACTGAAGGCAAAGGAATGAAAGAAGGAACTTTGGGGCGTAAAGCTCAATTCAATTTGATAACAAGAAACTCAGAGAGAATGCAGGGGTACGATGAGAGGGACCGTGTAACGGTAGAGTTAAAGGACGAGAAAGGACAAGAATGCGTGACGGAAGTGAAGGTAAAGGACATGAAAGATGGTACCTACAATGTTAGTTTTTATCCCGCAGTTCAAGGTATATTAAAATTGCTTGTTAAAGTAAACGAGGAACAAACTTGTGGGAGCCCTTTCACAATAAGCGTAAAACCATTTCATGTAAAACCTGTTTTATGTTTTGGAGAGAAAGGTACCGGTGATGGAATGTTTGATTATCCTCGAGGTGTGGCAGTGACTGACAAAGACGAAATCGTAGTAGCTGACCAGTGCAACAATCGGGTTCAATTGTTTAACAGTAATGGTACCTTCTTAAGATCTTTTGGCCACAGAGGCAAAAATTCTGGAGAGTTCAACCGACCTGATGGAATAGCCATTGATAAGGATGGAAACATTTTCGTAGCAGACAGCGGTAACCATAGAGTGCAAATCTTTAGCAGGGAGGGGAGGCACCTGGGTTCATTTGGAAGCATAGTAAGCCTTGATAGTAAGCTCCTTGAACCTTCGGGTTTATCCTTAGATAGTAATGGTAATATTATTGTTGCTGACACAGGTGACAAGCTGATTAAGATCTTTACCCCGAAGGGTAGGTTTGTAATGAAGATAGGTGGGCAGGGTTCTTTAAGTGACCCCGTTCACTGTATTCAGTGTGGTGAATATTTCATAGTGTCAGACCGAGGTGAACACTGTATCGAAGTATTTAACAGGGAGGGAGATTTTCAGTACAAGTTTGGTAAGGAGGGGAAAGGGGACGGGGAATTTAATTGCCCCGCTTATTTGTTAGTGAATGAGTTACAGCATCTATTTGCCTGCGATCGTGAGAATCATAGAGTTCAAGTCGTTGAACTTAACGGAAAATTCATCTGGAAGTTTGGAGCAAAAGGCAGCAAGTTAGGAGAATTCAATAGACCCTTGTCAGTGGCAATGCTTAGTAATGGCCGAATTGTTGTGTGTGATGAATTTAATCATCGAATTCAAATATTTGAATGAATAGTGGCTATATTTCCTGAACATATTGGCATAAGCATTTAATTCTCCAAATATTAATCTAAATATCCAAGGTAAATTACAGTCAAACCTCTCCTTACAGACACCTCTCTATTACGGACAGTTGGTTTGGTCCCAGAAATGCCAAAAATCATGCATTACCTACCTTTATAATAGGGACACCTCTGTAAAGCGGACACTTGGTTCTGTCCCTTTGGTGTTCGTATTAAAGAGGTTTGACTGTAGTCAGTTACTCCACATTCGTTAATATTATTTTTGAGAGACTTTAACATTAAGTCCACAAACTGAACTTAAAACCGTTTATATAATTTTGTTTGGCCATAGGAGGGAAAACTAGGGAGACACTAACATCATGTGCTAAAAGACTGTGTTGAGTTAAGTTTGCAAGCTCTTTTTGGTCGTTTTTTGTGATCGATATTTTTCGACTAGTCTAGTCTAGTCATAAATATGTGGTTTTTTTACAGTTCATCAAGTGCTGGAAGCGCCAGTGCCATTTTTTTAATTTACTTTTTTATCAAAGAGACATGAAAAGCATGGGCCAGGTTTGATGTAAAATGACTCCTGTACAACAAAGGCGCAGTTATGCGTCTAGTTCTACCTTAAATTTTGAAAACGTACAGTGCGTATTTTAAAAAAACCAAGGACCTAAATTAGACTGAACCGTTTGTTATTCAAAGGTGTGGTTGAGGGATTAACCGCTCATGTTCCCCCTTACAAAGGTCGGTTAAGCTATAACCTTGCTCTTGCTCTACAACTGAGCACAAAGAAGGAAAATAATAAACTAAGGCACAGAGTTCAGTGCATCTTGTAAAGCAGATACAATAAAAAACTAGTTGTGAATGTCAGTGGAGACCCTTGAGGGAATTCAAATTTCCAATGTAATTTTCTGGGTAGTTTAACAAAAAATAACAATAAAAATCGTAATTCACCTTATTTTGTATAGATAAATGTGTAGAAAAATATAATCATAAAAGAAAAAAACACACTTATCCCTTTGAGAAACTATGTCATTGTAGTTCAGAAAATATTATTAGAATTCTTTGTTATGAGAGGTTTTTCTCTGGTCTGTTTGCTGGTAGTCTCCAGGTGTGGCGTGAAATTTCGAGCTCGCGCGTAGAAGACCATTTACTGACGACGCCTTACATTTATCATAATTCATTTCACTTTTGCATTTCTTATTTACCAATACGAGGAAGAAAACAAGATTGAAAGATTTTGGTTGTTGTAATATGGAAAAAAAATGACGTCATGGTGCAATTGTCATCTTATGTACAACTTAAAAGGGCTTGATAGCAATTAGCTGAAATAGTAAAACTGTATTTGATATGCCACCTGACTGATGCCGGGGCTAGCGCGACACGGTTGTCCAGGGCCAACTAGCCTGGTACTAGGCTTCTTGTGAGGAAACTCACCTCTTACTTCTCGCTTGCCCCCATGTCCGAGGCTAACTCCGCGGTATGGCCAATACCTTACGCATGCGCCCAGCCATATAACTCGGGAAGTGGCCATTCTCGTCCCCAGAGCCCGTCGTTTCTTGGTCAAATTAAGCCGAGTGGCTCTGGAGGCGAGAAAGGGAAGTGGCGGCCATGGAGGGAGAGCTGTTTCGCCCTCATTGCGACTCATCATCATGGCCCCCTGAACACGGCTTTGATCTTACAGGGGTCCGAAGGCTATGTCATTCTTATGAGCCTTAACGAGAAGCGCAAGAGCTGTCCATGGTTACCACTGCTCGGTTGATACTGTTAGGGAGAAAATTCAAGTAATTTCTATTTATAATTCCAATACGGGTTTTGGCTGTAATTTAATGACTATGAAAGTTTAAGCTTTTGAATTTTCGCTTAACTTTTATCGTTGCTCTTTTCGCTTTGACAATAAGATTTTTATGAGACATTTTACAGTGTTTACAATTAGCCGCATTCAGCCGTGGTGGCTCGTGCTATTTTTAAGATGCTTTGTTTTCATGCTTTTTTGTGCTTTGTTTAATAATCCTACAATTAAAAGCCAACAGCGGCCTATTCATAGTACAAACAGAACAAACTTATTAAGTTTCCGTTTCGTTGATAAGATTGTTTAATTGTATTCGTTCAACTTCAGTAACGATTTCTAAAAATATCGGTTGTCTGAATAGTAGTTGTACTACTTTAATTTATTTTTCTACAACAAAGCGGCATTTCACTGTAACACTTGTTAAGCAAATATAGCTCGTTTTTAATTGAAGTATTTTTGAACGATCACGAAGTTTCTCCACAAATATAATAGTTCTTAATTTACTTCCGTAAATAGTCGCTTCGTCTAAATTTAGAATTCCAAAAGTTTTGCCGACTTGCAAATCCGAAAAATGTCTGCTTTTGTTGTAGGTGAAAAACCACGCCAGTTTTAATAGACAGTCCTACTACGTGCCCAGAGGGCCGCTAGCTGAGCTTGCAATTCTATTCATATAGCAAAACTACGTGCTTGGATAGGTGGACAGGGTTCTTTTAGTTATCTTGTTCACTGTGTTCCGTGTGGTGAATATTTCATAGTGTCAGACCTAGGTGAACACTGTATCAAAGTATTTAACAGGGAGGGGCATTTTCAGTACAAGTTTGGTAAGGAGGGGCAAGGGGACGGGGAATTCAGTTACCCTGGTTATTTGTCAGTGAATGAGTCACAGCATCTGTTTGTCTGTGATCGTTATAATCATCGAGTTCAAGTCTTTGAACTTAACGGAAAATTCATTGGGAAGTTTGGAACAGAGGGCAGCAAGTTAGGAGAATTCAGTAAACCCTTGTCAGTGGCAACGCTTAGTAATGGGCGAATTGTTGTGTCTGATGAATGTAATCATCGAATTCAAATATTTGAATGAAAAGTGGCTATATTTCCTAAACATATTGGCAAATTAAAACATGTTATTCCAAATATAAATCTAAATATCCAAGGAAATTTAAGTTAGTCCACATTCGTAAATATATTTTTTAAAAAAACGTAAAGATAGTTCATGGTATGTAGTCCACATACTGTAATTTAAACCGTTTACAAAAAGGAGAGAAAGGACATCAAGTGCTAAAAGACTATGTTGACTTGAGGGCTTGAGTTTGTAACCTCTTTTTGGTGGTTTTTTGTGATCGATACCTTGCGATGGTCAAGGCAATCAGCTATGACAATGTAAGTAAAAATTTTAAGAATAAACATTAGCCTAGTCATAAATGTCTTTTTTACTGTTTATTAAGCGTTGCAGTGGTCAATGCCATTATATTTTAGTTTCTTTTTTTTTAATCAATGAGATATGAAAAGCATGGACCAGGTTTTATGTAAAATGACTGCTGTACAACATAGACTAGGTCTGAGTTGTGCGTCTAGTTCTACCTTAATTTTAATGATTTTAATTTTTTCCCCCAAACCAGCGTGATTCTTACTTTCCAGGACATGATTTTTGCGTAAAACAATTTACCCATTCATTCCTCCATTTTTCTCCCCCCCCCCCCCCCCCCCCCCCCCCCCCCCC